GCGTTAGAAGTATAATTCAACACTCCGTCAAGTGTTGGCTGTAGTACGTGTGGTACACGCAGGACCAACGTTGAAGTATCCTTGCCGTCCCAGCGTGGCGCATTGGGGACTTACCTTTATACTTCTACATTAACTCTTAGAGTGCAGTCAGAAATACGTGGCGCAACTTATTGACAAATATTTTTCCTAAACAATAGAACATAGACTGTTCAGCTTTTGCAAAATGACTTGTATCAATTTGTCTAAACAGATTAATATTTTTGTAAACACATGTTAGCTATATTGTAGAAAATGCTTTAGAAAAAACTAATTTAAAAATCCAAGTGGGTGGTTTTTACAGACTTAAAAAGATTTACAGCTGGGGCAATATCGCTTTTAAAAGCAAGTCCGTCATTTTTTTTTTCTAATCCTGACACTATATTGAACGCGTGTTTTGAGAAACTTTAGGGCAAAAATGTGTTTACTATAAAAAATAATAATAATTTTGGTAACAGGTTTTTCCACTAAAAAGTGACATTTGTGAGGTGTGACGTAGGCCATATGCGTATGCAAAATGTGTGTGTAGTGTGAGACGCGGGAAGAGCTGTGGACAATCCCATTTTCCGCGTGACGGACATTTATAGTACATGTATCGTAATATAAATTTATGAAGAAAAAAACGTTTTAAAAAAAAGAAATCTAACCTCAATTGACAAGTCGACATAAATACATACATCGCATCGTATGTATGACAACGATTCACACATAAAACGGATATTTGAGGATAACTTACGCCACGAATTTGTTACCGCACTAACAGTCTTAGTATATTGAGGCAGTTCCATGTTTGTAGTACGCCGCCTATTTTGTCACCCGTCAACATCCAAACTGCGTTATAATTTCGCTTGTGTTTTAACCAATCCACATAAAATGAAGACAAAACTGACTGTAAACGAATGCTCCAAGCATACAGTTTGATCATAAATAAGAAAGATTTCCTAAAGTTTTTGTAGATTTATGTTATGCATATAAGCATCAGAGCGATGTTATCCGCAAGCTGAACTTAGGCGCGGTATAATTATAAAGAGTTAATGTTTCAGGAACTTCTCGCTCGTTAATCTCTACACATGGACACCCCAGTCTCCTTAGTGTGAATGCTGCTTTTCGCCACAGGTATTCTAAGCCCCCGTAGTGCTTTGGGCCTCCTTGCCTATGATTGGACTAATATTTCCTTCTAATAAGTGCTTTTAGGAACTATTACCGTCTTTGCTTTGAGATGGCAATAAACAAACAGCTTTAAGTACTTCAACAAAATGATCTTGATTTTTTTTAAAAATACAGTGTATAACGTTTAGATCTGCCGTTTCAAAATGTAGGCTGGGGATGGGAGCAAAATAAAAATCTTGTGCATCACATGGTAGAGTAGGTCTATTGTACACCTGAAAGCACAAGACAGTGTCACACACACACACACACACACACACACACACACACACACACACACACACACACACACATTCACAACTTTAATATACACAACTAAGACCATGAGGCTTGAAACCAAATGTTCTATCTGCTTTCTAAAAATCGTAAGATTATTAGCAGTCGTTATCAAGATACAAAAAACAAATTGCATTTCGAAAAAGCTTGACATGAAGTGAAACTTAGAATCTTTAACGTCAAATTTCTAAAAAATATAAGGTACTGGGCACATTTTAGTGTAAGTTTGCAGCTTCACTCACCTATCAACACACATTTCTCAAAAATATAAGGTACTGAGCAGATTTTAGTATAAATTTGTAGCTTCACTCATCTATCAACACACATTTCTCAAAAATATAAAGTACTGAGCAGATTTTAGTGTAAATTTGTCGTTTCACTTATCTATCAACACACATTTTTCAAAAATATAAAGTACTGAGCAGGTTTTAGTGTAAGTTTGTAGCTCACTCACCTATCAACACAGTGGGCAGCAGTGACGACCCACTGAGGATCGATCAGCGTCCCCCCACAGTAGTGTACGTAGCTCCCTGTGCTATAGTAGAATCTGCGAAGACTCACTTGCCACGCCCATTCGCCCGGGTCCGCCTCGTTGCCGCCCACAATCAGACTGGACATTTTGATGCCGCAAGAATCTGAGTTAAGTATTCGCAGTGTTATTTAATGTGAAGTTATGCTCACTGACTCTGTGGTCTACGGTTAACAACAGTTTCATAATAATAGTAAACTCGAAGCCGAAAAAGATATTACTTTGTCTCAGCTTTCACGGAAACAAACAAATGAAATAAAACAAAATAATAAAAAAAACCCAACAAAGATATAAAACTATGGTACTTGAGGTTTGGGGTGAGGTAGCAGGGGTGTAATAAAATAAAATTGCTACGGAGTAACTATAGCTTCTATCCTTTAAAAATGATCCCAGCCAAAAGCACGTGCATAAAATAAAGTCGTCGATAGCTTAATGAAAGAAAGACTAAATGAAACGTATAAACATTATAGCTTACTATTAAAGTGACAAATCAAAATGGATGAATAAATATATTATTTTAAAAATTAGATAAGCTTAGGGAGAAATAGTGATTAATAATTGCAATACGACCATGGCAGTTTGACCGTGCACCGCCTTACTCTATGTTCTGTCTGATGAAGACAGTAAGCGTAAGAAAAGTGATAAATAAAAGAACCATAGGCTTGCACTGTAATATTCAAAGAGCGGGCACTATTATGGCAACCGTTCTTTGCTCTAAAAAAAACCCACTTCGCTACACCTGAATAGACATAAGGGTGTTGAACATTTAGCTCTCACTGGCAAAATTGAGGACAAGCGAGGCAGGGGTAGGCCCAGAACAACATACTTAGGGAACCTAAACAAATGGATAACAGGGAAAGATCAGGGAAAAGTAGCTTTTTTTTTAGAGCATCCGAGCAAAGGAATGAATGGAAAACCATGATCGCTGATGTCTGTCGCAGATCTGGCACTGGATGATGGCTCTGGTGTGCACCATGAGCACTCAAATGAAGGGAAAACACAACTCTCGCTTTTGTCGGGTGCACGCCTACCTCTTTTCCCTCCTTGCTCTTGATTTGGTTCCAACATAGAGGTATGATTGGTGCGCTTTTTCGAATGCAATTCTTTGAATATATTGATAACCCCGAATAGCCTTACGATTTCATTCTGATAGAGCAGGTAGAACATTCGGTTTCTGGCCTCATGCTCTCTTTGTAGTTACTCAAAACGGCCCAAAATGTCAGATGTCACATGGAACTTTGTAATTCTGAGGTAGCAAATGGGTGGCTGTTTTGGACAATTTGGAGCGCATAATATTATTATAATACAAGTCTATGCGTATGACTAGTTAGGTACCCGTTCGATGAACGGAGTCAAAAGAATTGTCAGGTCATTGTGGAACAGTGTGCATTGCTTATGGACGGAAGCCTCACTTGTTTACAATGACGTCTTAGAAGACGGCTTTTCCCAGGATTAGATCTAAACGAAACTAAAGAAAAACTGAAAATTAAACTGCAATGAGTTCAGACTCCTTAATATAACTGTGGGCCCTTTAAATGATTCTGAATCACCGTTATTTTTTTCAAATTCGAAAGTTAAGTGGTTCGGAATTTTAGACGACCAAAGTGACGAACTTTCACAATTCTAATAATAATAATATAGATAAGAGCACACACACCGTCCAGGAGAGGACTTTCTTTCGAGGCTGAGTCCAGGGGCGTCGTCTTAGTGTCGTTCCCTCCTGATGTGTGATCGGGTTGAGTAGGCGGGTGCTTGTCGTAGACAGGCTCTACGAGATTGGTGCGGTTACACTCATCAGTGGTCGATACATACACGCAGGCTCGCACTTTTATGGAGAATATCTGAAGGACGTGAAGATTGGCTTTTCTTAGAGAATCCAAAGAAAGGCATTCAAAGCAATGACAGTAACAGCAACAACAATGATTGCCATAACAACTACAATAATAATGGGGGTTTTTTTAATTTTAATAATGACAATAAAATAATAATA